GATGCGTACATGGTATTGGCTGGAGGTTAATGATTCTCCAATGGCATTGGCTGGGGGCAATGATATTCAAATGTAATTGGCTGGGGGGGGGCAATGATACTCAAATATAATTGGTTAGGGGTGGGTAATGATATTCACATGACATTGGCTGGCCTTTGGAGGAGGCGTGGCTAAACGGCGAAGGGGCGGGGAACGGTGGCATCACGTGGGGAGAGCCGGCGTCCGCTTGACGTAATGGGGGCGGGGCGTGCGGTGTTTCAATGTGAGTTGCAGCGCTGAGCTACAATGTAACTAGCGCTCGTAGTGACTGGGATTGATCCAGAGCAGCGGGATCGAATCCCCCGTACAGCCTGCCTCTCAGTTTCTCTCTCTCTTCTTTTCTTTTTCCCTCCCCCCCCCCCCTCCCCCCCACCCTTTTCCCCCCCCCCCCATCCCTCTCCCCCCTCCAATCCTAGGGTCTGACTCCCCTCATCCCTGCAACTGTAAATATCAAAAGATACCTTTCTATTACAAGCAAGCCTTCTCCAGAAAACAGCATTTAACAAGAAAATCCACAGAGGGGGGGGAAAAATCCTCATTTCACCGCCTCTCTTCTTTTCTCCCCCCCCCCCTCCCCATTCACGGTTTGTTTTAAGATGATGGGCCCGATGCAACAGAATGGGACTCATATTGAACTCGACCCCCCCGATTCCAGGAAAAGACCGCTGGAAGCGCCAATCGACGCTGGTAGCACCAAGCGGACAAACACAGGAGGTGAGCTGGAAAAGAGTGCGGGGTCGTTCATCAGAGCTGGGGGGCGGGGGGCATTAAAAAGAAAGGGGGGGGGGGTGCTTAGCGATGTGGCTGACATGAACTGTCATTTGGCAAATCTCTGTGAAACGTTTTAATGAGGAGTGATTGAGGGGGTAGCAATGATAAACCCTGAAAACAAAGGACTCCCAAAATATTAACCGGGGGGGAAAAAAAAACTGTATCGAACTCACTTGAGCAAGCAATGATTTGAAATTGACCCTTTTGTAGATTTCTGCTATCTGAAATTGCAATTTTATTCTCTCTCTCTGGCAGTGGTGAATTTCAAAATTTTCTTTCTGTCTCTCTGGCAGTGTTGAATTTTAAAGTTTTTTTTTTAAAAATATTTCATCTGTTCATGTCGATGCTGGAAGGAAACAGGGTTGAGTTATTTGCATACAATTGCTGGCGTTAGGAAGTTAACCCTTTCGCTGGTTACGCACTGACCATGAAGCCCCCTACACTATTTTATTTAGACAACGATCCTCAATACTGATCCTTCTGTTTCTTAAATTTCTGCTACTTATGGCAAGTCTTCGCTAAATATGATATGTAATACCAAACTACTAATGCAAATTCAGCACTGCTGTCTTATCTGCTGTTACCTCCATCAGTATTGGGTAGAGCTACATGTATGGTCCTTCTTTCCCTTTGGAAACAGATTTTACCCCAGAGCAGGGACATGCAAGTTATTTTTTAATGTGTGTGTCGCTTCAAAAAGCCCCCCCCCCCGCCTTTTTTTTTGCTTGTTTTCGTTTCTCTCTTAATTTTTTGGAAGAAAAGAAAATATATTTAAAAATAAAGGAACGGACGGGTCTTTTGAGGGTAGAAATGGTTGCTGTCTTTAAATTAGAATTCTGTCCACGTTGGAGATGCTATGTAGGTGGAATAGAGCTGATGGCAGTTAGATTGTATGATTGGACAGTGTATGTGAATAGTGACTGGGAGCTGGAAAGTCAGATTATGAGAGTGAATGAAGGGGCTGATTGGGTGCACTGCAATCTTCCTGCTTCGAGCGGACAGCTATGCTTGTGCCAGGTAGGAGGCTTTGCAGAGAAAAATGCTGTCATTTCCACCTCCCGCGCCCCCCCCTTGCCAACCCCTTCTCTTATCCCTGACTGATGCAGCAGAGAGCAAAAAGGTTACAAAATTTATCCATCTTTTATTACAGAATCTTTTTCAAATCATACCCCCTTATGAAGGCTTATTTCTTCTTTAAATCGGAGTTTTTTTGATGAATTTGAACATCTTCGGGTTGCTGTGGTATTTTAAATTCTGTTTTTCAATATTGTGTTTGATGCACTGGAACCCATAGGATAAAGATCCATCTCAGAGTACTGTATTTTTCCAGTTAGCTGGTGATCTGAAAGGATTTGACTTGGAGAAGAGGTTGTATCAATGGATGCAGAGAAGGGTTTTGTTAAAGGGCTCCTTTTTATTTATTCTTGCGAAAGCCTTAGTGCAACACTGGAAATCGAGGATTGTAAGCGAGTTTGGGAGCACTGGTCGATGTTGCTGGTTGCGATTGTCTCCTCCACATTAAGTTTTTTGTTTTATTTAATGGTGGATCTGCCATCTTAGCCAGCTGAACCAGTATTGGGTGCCAGATGCCGTGGGCAGAGGTGGTACGCAGGCATCGGGAATGCACTTGGTAGCTGGTGACCCTGGGAGGCAGCCGAAGAGGGTGGGGGTGGGGAATGCCTCATAATTTGCTGCCCATCTCTAACCTCTCGATGCCCAATCTGTAGTGGGCACATCCACCCACTCCCCTGCCCCCTTTTTTTTGCGATGCCTACCAAGGGCTCATTGACCTGATGGGTACCTATTCAGCCAGCGATGGCTGATCGGATGTGGGTGTTTTTAGGTGGCGCAGAATGGGCATTACTTTACACCCACCCCCAACCCCAACAAAATCCCATCCCTTTACCAAACCTGCCCCAAGGCCGTTGGTTGGAAATTGGCCATTCAGAGGTCATGTCAGAATGGTGTTGGGGAGTGTGGGGTGTGAAGAGGGGGATGGGTGTCAGGGTTGGCATTGCCGGTTACACCATCTCATCCGGATTGGCGCTGCCATCACCACCATAATCAAATTCCCATTGGATTTGGGAGGGGAGCAATGCCTCCTGTAAGCTCTTCTGCAGATGCTGTGGAAGTGTGTGTTAGAAGTTGGTTGCCATCTTGAACAGTGCTCCCAGGCCTGTAAATTGGTGAGAGTGTCTTAGGAGCCAGTTGGGGGCGTGGGGAGATGGTGGGGAAGAAGAAAAGGGGTATGTGTGTACAGTGTAGAGGATGAACCCTGCGACCTCCAACTTTACTGCTGTTAGAAACTGCATTGGGGTGTCAAGGGCTAAAGTATTTTGATTCTGTGGGTGTCGTTGGCTGGGCCAGCGTTTACTGTCCATCCCTAGAGAAGGTGGTCGTGAGCTGCCTTGTTGAAGTGTTGTGGTCTGTGAGGTGTGGGGACACCCCAGTGTTGTTGGAGGGTGGTGGAGCTCCATGGTTTTGACCCACTGGGGTCAAAGTGTTGCTTGAAGTTATTCCTAGCAACGGTGTCATAGAAATGTACAAGCCTTCAGTCCAACTCATCCATGCTGACTGATATGCTAAATTAATCTAGTCCCACTTGCCAGCATTTGGCCCATTTCCCACTAAACCCTTCCTATTCATGTATCCATCCAGATGCTTTTTAAATGTAATTGTACAAGTCTCCACCACTTCCTCTGGCAGCTCATTCCATACATGCACCACCCTCTGCGTGAAAGAGTTGCCTCTTTTATATATTTCCCACTCTCACCTTTAAGTGGGTCTGGAAGGTGCTGTCGAAGGGTAAAAATGGCACAGAATGAATGAACTAGATTAGGTTTTGATGACAACTGGTGATGGTTTTGTGGTCACTCTTGTGCTTCATAATGCCAGATTTATTAGTTAAGTTCAAATTTTATCCGTCACTGTGGGACTTGAACCCATATCCCCATAGCATTTTCCTGGGTCTCTGGGTTACTAGTCCAGTGGCAATACCATGATGCTACCATATCCGTCATGAAACCATCCCATTAGCTCATCATAGATTGGAACAGTCCAAGATGAAACATCATGTTGTCCAAGCTAGCCAACCAATGGGATTCTCAACCACTGTCTTTGCCTGTAGTCCTGTCATAACATCTGTTGAAGATTCTGTCCAATCCCCTGATAATAGAACATCCTTTCACTGTCCAAACAGACAACCCAGATCCAAACTATTCTCCACATCATCGGAGGTGTCCTTGACAGAGGTGTGGGGAAAGCTAATCGAGGGGGGTGGGGGAGGAATGGGAAATAATTGTCTAGTCCTTTCAGTGAGCCAGAACAGGCAGGATGGGTGGAATGGTCGTTTTCTGTGCTTTATGCTGCTACGGGATGGGTTTGACAACAGCCTGTTGATTGTAAATTGGGAGCGGGGATTGTGGGGATGCTCTTAGCAATGGACATGCTGTACACTTGCCAAATGGGGTGATCGGATAGTGATCATCTCCTCATTCCCTTGGCCATGGGAGACTGTGAGCCCGAGCACTGTGCTGACTGAACTCCGCTAACCCTGCATTCTTTGATCATTCACCATAACTGAACAGAGGAGGTGCTGGAGGCTAGTACAATTGCAACATTTAAGAGGCATTTGGATAGATACATGGATAGGAAGGGTTTAGAGGGATATGGGCCAAGCGCTGGCCAATGGGACTAGATTAATTTAGAATATCTGGCCGGTATGGATGAGATGGACTGAAGCTTCTGTTTCCGTGATGTATGACTCTCAGCTCTCCCTGGTTTCTGCTCTCCTTGCCATCGCCACTTGCTCACCTATCCTTCGATGCCCATTGCTCCACCATTGGCAGCTGTGCTTTCAATAGCCTGGGTCCTTGGCTCTGGAATTCCCTCCCTAAACCTTGATGGCCACCCCTTGCCAACGTGCCCTGCTTTGCATGTCCCAATACATCCCCTCCATAACTTGCCCATGAATGGGCCTGTGGCAGTGGTGGTGGTATGGAGGCAGACCAGAGCTATGGCACTAAAACAGGAAGAGCGATTGTAACCTGAATGGAATTAGAGTGCAAAAGGGCACTGTCTGTAGCTAAGAAATAGGAGGCCAATCAGCCCCTCCAGTTGCTCCATCCTTTAAGATCATGACCTTTTTTTTGTGTAGAATCCCTACAGTGAGGAAAGAGGCCATTTGGCCCATTGTGTCTGTGCCAACCCTCCAAAAATACCCCTCCCAAACCCACTCTGCTTCCAATCCCTGTAACTCTGCATTTCCTATGGTTAACCCACCTAATCTGCACATCCCTGGATACTATGGAGGCAATTTAGCATGGCCAATCCACCCTAACCTGCACACCTTTGGACTGTGGGAGGAAACCGGAGCACCCAGGGAGAATGTGCAAACTCTTCATGGGCAGTCGCCCAAGGGTGGAATCGGACCCGGGTCCCTGGCGCTGTGAGGCACAGCGCTAACCGCTGACTCACCGCGCCGTCCCCAAATCCAATTGTGGCCTTGGCCCCACTCTGCTGCCTGTTTTTACCACCCCCCTCCCCATAACCATTGACTTCCTCGTCTATCAGAAATCTGCCTGACTGAGCCTTGAATGCATTCAACGAGCTGCCTTTGGCAAAGAGAATTCCGAAGCTGTTACGACTCTCTGGGTGGGGAAAGAAAAAGTAACCTCCCCCTCATCTGTGTGAAATGGATGCACCTTTGTTTCTAAACCCCACCGTCCCATTCTAGATTGAGGTCAAAGGGAATCATCCAATCAGCATCTGCCCTGTCAAGTCCCTGACCGATGCTGAAATTGAAGCCATTGCAATGATGCTCCACGACTGTATCTAAAGCAAGTCAGCTTCTGGGATATGTTAGCAGGTTAATATTTTGCCAAAGCGGTGAGGTCACCCTCCCTTATTTATCAATCATCTGTACCTCCTTGTTTTAACTGGCT